CATCATCAGGTACATCACCTGGTACATCAGGTACATCACCTGGTGATGACAAAACCTTGTCGAAACATTGTACATTTGCTTGTTATGTTAAACTTATATTAAAGTTTTTCTTATTACCCATTCAAGCCGTCTCCAGCCAACATTAGAGGTAGGTTACGGTCAACAATAAAAATCACACTAATTTATTGGGGAACCCTAAAAATCGAGTAAAATAAAAGGATTTTGCTAAAATTAAAAAGTTTCAACAAAATAAAGGATAAATGCTAGTTTAGTCAAACTAAACTTCTTTTGCAAGCATTTAACGAAAACAAAACGCAATGCACAGTTTCAGTAGCTTATTTGGATGGAACTTAATCTCAAAGTCATTTAAAGCAAACTAACTTTGAAAAATCCTTTCTAATTGATGAAAAATTCGAGGATTCTAGAAAATGTTAAGATACTTATAAATAATCAAGAAAACGAGACAATGATTTGAAGTTCAAGTTTCGGCGTAATTAATAAAAACTTCGAAGCGATATGACTTGCATGAAATTATAATGACACAATTATTAATGCACAGTAATTATCTCAAGATATGGTAGGTGGTGTGAACTTGTCCGACGCAAATAGTTATAAATATAAACATTTTTATATTAGTTAATAAAGAGTAGAAAGCTTGTCCTAATGAAAATTGAAATTAGAAATTAATGTACGCAAGAGAGTTTTGGCTTACTGTAAACAATATTAAACGTTGAAAATAATAAACAGAACTAATTAACTAAGAAGTAAGAACTGCTGAATATATGAACAATTTGTGTAGTTAACAAATACTGCAACAAAAGAGATAATATTAATTTCTCCATACCTACGGCGAAGTGATGACAGACTCTAAATACATTTTTAGGGATACAGAATTTCACTTGTGAACGATACAATCTACTGCCATACTTGAAAAAAAAAGAATTTTATAGATGCCTAGCGCCAATCAGGTGTAAGGCAAATTATCTATAAGAAAGAGGATATTTTCCAAGATTCAAATAACAATTCAATTTTGTATAAGATTGTAAAAGGAACCTAGCAAACATCTGAGGATTTAGAGGCCTGTCACTCATTTCTATTACTGTTATGACAATGTATGTCTAAAGAAGAAGAATATCAAATGTTAAATGCACTAAATGGTACTAATTGATTGAAAGTAGTCGCAAATAGGTTACGTCTAAAATGACTAAACAAGTATGATGGAGAGCAGCAAATATTGTTCATTTACTTATTTGTAAGCGCAAAGCTACACAACGCACCCAAAATCACTATAGGGCTGTTTCGTATATAAAACCATATGGCGGTGAGATCATGTAGAGCATGAGTAATACCAACATGATTCTGTATCTCACTAAGGAACGACATTAACTAGCAAACCATATATTCCCCAGATGAAGAAATGCAATATAGTGGCAACATAATATGGCATTAAAGAATAACAAGGGACCTTTGGGTCCATCTTCCGATCCACTAACTTAAGCTAAACACAGAAAAACCTCAAAGCCAGCCTTTATCATTCAAATATTTAATAAACATTTTCTTTTTTTGAGCTCCCCTAAATTAACTGCATCTATCATATCTGATGGCAACATGTTCCAAAGGCCAACAATCCTGTTAGAAAAATAAAAATATCTTAGCCTAAGATGATTGCCAAAATTTATATTTGTATTCCCTAGACCTACCGATCTCACCATTAAATACGAAAAAAGGTGATGTATCAATGCTATTAATTCTCTTTAAAATATGTCAATTAGATATTCCCTAACTCTTCTTTTTTTTAAAAGAAAAAACAAGCTCAAAGATCTTATCCTATTCTCATATGAAAGACGACCTTTTCATTCCAGGTATCATCCTAATAGCCCTCCTCTGAACCATTTCCGCCAACTTAATGTCTTCTCTAAGGTAAGAAGCCCAAGACTGAATAAAGTACCCCAAATGTGGCTTAACAAATGACCTATACAATGATATTGTAACTTCTTTAGACTTGTCTTTAATATTTCTTTAGGTTCAACCTAAAATCCTATTCGCCATATCACTAACAACAACACATTACTTGGATGGCTAAAGAGACTGGTGAACCAAAACACCAAAGTGTTTCTTTTTTTTCCATAACACTGTTAATATTATTTCCATCAAAATTATACTCATAACTGAAATTGTGATATCCCACATGCATTACTTGCATTTATTATAATTAAAAGTAATCTGCCATTTATCCGTCTAACTCATCAAATAATCCAATATTTTCTAAAGCAGTAACGTCCTTTTCACAGCCAGCAACACCCAAAACTTTGATGTCACCAGCAAATTTCAATACTCTATTGACCATTCCTTCATTTATGTCATTGGTGTAAATCAAAAAGAGCAGGGATCCTACTACTGTGCCCTGAGGTACTCCACTCGTGACATTAATCCAATTTGCTTGAACTATATTTATAACAACCATCTGCCTTCTTCCACCTACCCAATTTTTTATCCAATGAGCTGACCTATTTCTCACATCTAAAGAAATAACTTTGTAACAAACTCTTTATGTGACACTTTTTGAAATACGTTTTGAAAATTCAGATTTACCAAATCCACACACTCGTATCGTCATGTATGTAAGAATGTCAAAAGATTAGTAAGACAGGATTTCCCGAAGTGAAACCACGCTGACTATCAAACAAAATTTCAAATTTTGTTAAATGACTTTGCAAAGCATCTTTATGAGACTTTGAAAAATGATAAAATGATTCCCATAAATGATGCAAGACTAATAGGCCTATAATTACAGGGACAGTTTTTATCACCTCTCTTGAAAATAGGAGTAATATCAGCCAACTTTCAATCTTGTGGCATTTGCTCACTGTTTACGGACAGTAGCAAGTGGCTCACTTATCCAATCCCTAACCTCCTTCAAAACCCTTGGGTAAATATTATGTGCTTTAGGAGTCTTATCATTTTTTAAATGTCCCAATGTTTTCTTAAGTTTATAGAGCAGTTAATGTCTCTTCGTGTAATGAAGATCTTAAGTCAGAATTGAATTATTTAAAACATTTAACAATTGATAGAGGTTATGAACCTGATATTATAGATAGGATCTGTAAAAAATGTTATCATAAATTTAAAAATTTTGAATGTACCAAAGCACAGACAGTAAGTAAGGGAACGAGGAAAGAATATGTTTGCTTTACATCCCATCATTGTCAACAAAAATAGGTAATGTGTTTATGCAAAATACAAGTTGTCAAATAACCTTCACGCCTCAGGTAAAATTTATCAACATCATTAATGGTGTTAGAGTTAAAATTAAAGTAAATAATAGATGTGGAACATATACATTTGTTTGTAGACGTGGTTTAGGTTATATTGGACAGACAAATAGAAATTTGAAGTTTCGAATAAAAGAACATAAAAATGTTGTTGATAAATTAAAATCTAATGATTCGGCATTAGGGAAACATGTGGCAAACTTTTCACATATTATTGAA